CGCCACAACACCTGGCTATTTTTTGGTTGCAGCCGTCATTGTTGTTTGGCGGGTCCGGGCTGGGGATTCGAACCCGCCACCTTAGGTGTACCTGGCTGGCGCCTTAGCCGGTTGAGCTATAGGCGCCAAGCCCTAATGTCACTCTTCAGAAGGTACCATCTTTACCTGTGCAGTCACCCTGACCATCCCCCCAACAAAGGATGGCAATGGTTTTAGCAGGTTTCTTTTTTACTATCTCTTTCCCTGATCTTCCTCATAAGCTGTAGCCGGTCTTCCATTGGTATCACATGCAGCTGTTTGTCTTAACTAATTGCTAGATGATTGCTCTGTGTGTGTTTAAAAAATATATTCTTGAGCATAAATTGCTACCTGGTCTAATTAAAATAAGTCCCTTTTGAATAAATAGAGATCTTCTTAGTTATCTCTTCACTGGGGTCATTTCGTGAACTTCTAGCTGCCTTTTGTTTGTTGATATCATGGAGCTATAGGTGTCCACAGAATTGGCTGGTTGCCCAAAACTCTATGATTTTTTATTGTTTTTAGACTTGAACTTCCCCATAGTCTGTTCCAATTAAAGTCATTTCCTGGGCCAGCAGTGGCTCATGCCTATAATCTCAGCACTCTGGGAGGCTGAGGCAGCTGTATTGCCTGAGCTCCCAGTTTTGAGACCAGCCTGTGCCAGAGTGAGACCCTGCCCCTAAAAATAGCTGGACATTGTGGCAGGAACCTGTAGTGCCAGCTACTCGGGAGACTGAGGCAAGAGAATCTCTTCAGCCCAAGAGTTAGAGGTTGCTGTGAGCTATGATGCTATGACACTCTACCAAGGGCAACAAAATGAGATTCTGTCTCAAAAAAGTCATATCTTTAGGGAGCACTACAGAGTTCACTCTCCTAAAGATCTGCCTCTCATACTGGGCAGAAATTCTGAACCACTGTTTTGGAGCTAGGGACAGGGATAATGGCCCACTTCTGTCAGGGTAATAGTCTGGCTCTATGAGTGGAGGACTGGAGAAGAGTTGTAGTCCCTGATATCCTTGGTTTGTCTCTCCCAGCATGAAATTATACTATGAGCAAGCTGAGATGAGAGCAACTGAGACCCAGTACTCTGAAAGTTCCATGCCTATTACCATAGGCTTTTACCCTTATAAATGGGAGATGGGTAGAAAAAGACAGTTCCAGGACTCTTAACTATGCTTCTCTATAAAAGAGCTTCTACAATACAGACAGGGGAGGATGAGAAGTGTGGTAAGTCTGGCATTCCTGGGAATCCTTAATCCAGAAGCTAGGGATGAATAGACAGAGTCCCATCTCCTTGGCCATACCCACCTAAAGTAGTGTTTACATCACACAGAGCTTGAGAATAGTGAGTGGGTCATGGTTTAATTGTCACAGCCTGTCATTGTACTTACTGAGTCTTAGTTAATTTCCCGGAATAAATGTTTCCCCATTTTCTGTAGGCCCTCAGCGCAATTTCCTGAGCCTTTACATGATTGTTTTATAATTCAATTTATAAAAAGTCACCAGTGATGACTTTTTTACTAGGAAGAGTATCCTTGAAGCTCCTCACGGCTCAGCGCCTGTGGCTCAAGTGGCTAGGGCACCAGCCACGTACATCTAAGGTGGTAGGTTCAAATCCAGCCTGGGCCCATCAAACAACCTGCAACCAAAAAATAGCCAGGCATTGTGGCAGGTGCCTGTGGTTCCAGCTACTTGGGAGGCTGAGGCAGGAGACTCGCTTGAGCCCAGGAGTTGTATGTTGCTGTGAGCTGTGATGCCACAGCACTCTACCCAGGGGGACAGCTTGAGGCTCTGTCTCAAAAAAAAAAAAAAAAAAGAAGCTCCTCACATCACCTTTCTGAAAGTACTTCTATTCTAGATTATTAAAGAAATTGACAACACTCAAGGTTTTCTATTTAATCCTCATTTGGGGATTGAAATAAGGAAAAATGCAAATAGAGGCTAATATTTCTATATAAATACCAAAATGTTCAGTTTAAACTATCAATTTTCTATTATTTTATTTATAACTATTTTTAATGAAAAATTATATGAGATGATATTAATTTGTGTAAAGTTATTTTTTTGTTGAGACTTATTATTTCTCTGCATTTTTGCCAAATAGGCCAGGTTACTAAATTGTGCACTTGAGCAGATGCATAAATGCAACAAAATCTGGAATCACTTGAAACAAACAGGTACAGTTAAAACTGAACATTTGACAACACAGTTATGAAGAGAGTTTAGAGTGTAAATAATCAAGTCTTTTGTCACCACATAAATGATTCTTTAAGAATTGGTTTTCCAGGTCTCATTGAAAGCAGTGGCAGCTCCTGGGTCTTCTATGTGTCCTACGTAATCTGTGCCACCTCTATGAGTAATCAACCATGTCTAAGGGACCTGCAGTTGGTATTGATCTTGGCACCACCTACTCTTGTGAGTGTGTCTTCCAGCATGGAAAAGTAGAGATAATTGCTAATGATCAGGGAAACTGAACCACTCCAAGTTATGTTGCCTTTACTGACACTGAACTTTGATTGGTGATGCTGTGAAAAATCAAATTACAATGAACCCCACGAACACAGTTTTTGATGCCAAGCATCTGATTGGATACAGGTTTGATGATGATGTTGTCCAGTCCGATATGAAACATTGGCCTTTCATGGTGGTGAATGATGCAGGCAGGCCTAAGGTCCAAGTAGAATACAAAGGAGAGACAAAAAGTTTCTATCCAGAGGAGGTGTCATCTATGGTTCCGACAAAGATGTAGGAAATTGCAGAAGCCTATCTTGGAAAGACTGATACCAATGGTGTGGTCACAGTACCAGCTTACTTCAGTGATTCTCAGCTTCAGGCTACCAAAGATGCTGGAACTATTGCTGGTCTCAATGTTCTTAGGTTTATAAATGAGCCAACTGCTGCTGCTATTGCTTATGGCTTAGACAAAAAGGTTGGAACTGAAAGAAATGTACTAATCTTTGACCTTGGAGGTGGCACTTTTGATGTGTCAATCCTCACTATTGAGGATGGAATCTTTGAGGTCAAATCTATAGCTCACTTGGGTGGTGAAAACTTTGACAACTGAATGGTCAACCATTTTATTGATGAGTTTAAGCACAAACATAAAGACATCAGTGAGAATAAAAGAGCTGTCCGTCACCTCCGTACTGCTTGTGAACGTACTAAGCATACTCTAACTTCCAGCACCCGGGCCAGTATTGAGATTGATTCCCTTTATGAAGGAATCGACTTCTATAACTCCATTACCCATGCCCAATTTGAAGAATTGAATACTGATCTGTTCCATCGCACCCTGGACCCTGTAGAGAAAGCTGTTAGAGATGCCAAACTAGACAAGTCACAGATTCATGACATTGTCCTGGTTGGTGGTTCTAACCGTATCCCCAAGATTCAAAAGCTTCTCCAAGACTTCTTCAATGGAAAAGAACTGAATAAGAGCATCAGTCCTGATGTGGCTGTTGCTTATGGTGCAGCTGTCCAGGCAGCCATCTTATCTGGTGACAAATCTGAGAGTGTTCAGGATTTGCTACTACTGTTTGTCACTCCTCTTTCTCTGGGTATTGAGACTGCTGGTGGAGTTATGACTGTGCTCATTAAGCGCAATACTACTATTCCAACCAAGCAGACACAGACCTTCACTACCTACTGTGACAACCAGCCGGGTGTGCTCATCCAGGTTTATGAAGGTGAGTGTGCCATGACCAAAAATAACAACTTGCTTGGCAAGTTTGAACTTACAGGCATACCTCCTGCTCCCCATGGTGTTCCTCAGATTGAAGTCACTTTTGATATTTATGCCAAAGGCATTCTCAATGTCTCTGCTGTGGATAAGAGTACAGGAAAAGAAAATAAGATTACCATCACTAATGACAAGGGATGTTTGAGCAAGGAAGATGTTGAACATATGGTTCAGGAAGCTGAGAATTATAAGGCTAAAGATGAGAAGCAGAAGGACCAGGTTTCATCAAAGAATTCACTTGAGTCCTATGCATTCAACATGAAAGCAACTGTTGAAGATGGGAAACTTCAAGGCAAGATCAACAATGAGGACAAACAGAAGATTCTTGACAAGTGTAATGAAATTATCAACTGGCTTGATAAGAACCAGACTGCAGAGAAGGAAGAATTTGAATATCAGCAGAAGGAGCTGGAGAAAGTCTGCAACTCCATCATTACCAAGTTGTACCAGAGTGCAGGAGGAATGCCAGGGGAGATGCCAGGAGGAATGTCTGGGGGCTTCCCTGGTGGTGGCTCTCGTCCTTCTGGTGGTGCTTCCTCTGGCCCCACCATTGAAGAGGTTGATTAGGCCCCACCATTGAAGAGGTTGATTAAGCCAACCCAGTGTAGATGTAGCATTGTTCCACACAGTAAAATATTGAAGGATCCAAATTTGTAGCAAATTATGTGGTAGATTTAAAGTTGGGCTGCTATGGTGAATTACTGGGCATTTTCAATACTTGAATATGGAACGTGCACAGGGGAAGGAAATAACATTGCACTTTAAAAGCACTGTATTGTAAGTGGAAAATATGATGTCTTAAAGCTGTATTTAAAATTGGCAAAAAAAAAGAACTGGTTTCCCCCACTGTATGTTAGTATTTTGACTCCATAACACACTGCTTAGATTAAAAATATTTTAAACTTTTCTTTTTATGACAGTATAATATTAAATATTTCATTGGTCATCATGTCATGATTGCTCTTAGGATGCTTTAATGTCTAATTTAATCAAGCTGACTAAATGTAGGCTATAATCTTTCAAACTACAATTAAGATATCAGATACTGCTAACATTTTCTTATAAAGTTGTCTAAATAGTAGTCAACCTTTTGAAATTACATAATAGCTTGATACTGTTCCTCAAAGATTATATTGGCTTTTTTGTTTATACAGACATTTTTATAGTGTTGATTCCTGTTTTAGAATTTGTTAAAATCAGAGGCAATTGAATTGTATGCCTTTTCAGACTTTATGGAGATAATGAATTTTTCTCCTTTGGACTAATAAATATTGAATTATAATAATATATTTTATGGCTCGGCGCCTATAGCTCA